ATGCACTTCTGAGAGCCTTGGAAGGAGGGAGTGAGGCAGAGAGATGCTTCGACCACCATCTTCCCTGCCCTAGGATGAGAGCCCACAGCCCATTACCAGCATCCACAGCGTACCCATGCCGCCGCTGTGATCCTGGCACCAGCAGCCCAGGCCCGCCGCTCCCCCCGCCGCCCAGAGACCGTTTCATTCCCTCAGCAGCCCCATGAAACAGAAACAGGCAGCAGCTTCCTTGGTGGGTCAGTCCTGCGCAGTTACTTTGAAAGTCAGTCCTAAAAAGCACACCCTCGAGTCTGGTCTTCAGCCCAGAGGAGGGCCCGCGGGTTCCACGGAGACCCTGGACCCATCTTGGGAATTTTTTCCTGCTGAAATTAGCTATGGAGGGTTCTGTTCTCTGCACTAGAGCCCAGACTGAGGTTTATGAATTCACAGCCATGCTGCCTACCAGATGGGTCTGGGGCCGTACAATTTGTTTCTAAAGTAAATGAGAAGAAAGAGGCAGATGGGTGAGTCTTCTCTCCTGGACAGTCACAGATTCCGGGAGCTATCTCAATCAGGGGAGGTGGGAGTTGCTGGGGGAGCTCCAGCCCCCTCCCCCGGGAACGCCTTCACGCGTCACCTTCCTTAGCTTAGCGAGGACCGGAGGACAGAGGATGCGCAGTCTGAGACGCAGGTGAGGGCGGTTTTAGAGGAGGCCAAGAGAGGGAGGGAGGTTTGGGGTGGGGCTGGGTAGGAATGGGTGTGGCGGACTTGGTGCTAAGGAAGGCGGAGGGCTGACAGCAGGCTGGGGCCCCAGGCCCAGCGGAGAGGAAGGGGCTCCCCCCTAGGCTGGAGAGGCAGCCCGGGCCTCAGCTGGAGGTTGGGCCCTAGGAGTCAAATCTTGAAACCCTCCAGGCAGGAGTGGTGGGGATAGCAGAAAAGCCCCACTTTCCTGACACATCCCCCCACCGCCCCCGGGCCTGAGGGAGGAGACAGGGGCTGAGCTCCCAGAATAGCAAGGCCCAGAGCAGCCGGGTCACAAGGAGCAGAGGGCAACCCACAGGTGTGGGGCTGGGAGGGCCGCCAGAACCTGCACCGCCAACACACCTGGCACCTGGTCTCTTTCCTTGCAGGCAAAGGGTCTTCAGAAGGTGGCTCATGAGGCCAACCAGTTCCCGTGTGGGAGCCCCAGATGCAGAGACCAGGAAGCTACAGACGGGACCCATAATCCAGGGGAGCCGGGGTAAAGCAAGACCAGGAGCAGAACTCAGACTCAGATTCCCACGGTCTGGGAAGAATGCGAAGAAAACACCTGCGCCAGCAGGAATCGCCCAAGCCCCCGCCTGACCAAGGAATAGACAGCAAAGGCTTTCCTGGAAAAAGGGGCTTGCAGACCCCAACTCACGACACCAGCAGGGAGGAAGCCTTGTCGAGGCTGGGGCGGTGGTGGCAGCAGGCGAGGAGCACCTGGGATCCAGGACCAAGCTCAGGGCCACGGGCAGTCCCAGGGCCGAGGGGCTCCGGAGGGAGCGCAGGGGCTGCCGGGAAAGAGCCTGGTGTGGGCGGGGGCAGAGCCGGAGAGAGACTGGCCTGGTCACAGCCCCACTGGGACAGCTGCACTGAGCCTGTGTGAGGGCACTCAGAGGGGACAGCTGGGGCCCAGGCAGACAGTGAGGGGCCAAGCCTGGACAGTTCAACCAACACCCATGGAGGCAGGGAGGGAGCCGGACAGCCCCGTGGGCCACCCAAGCCAGCAGGACCCAGCTCCTGCAGACACAAGCAAGGGATGAGTGCCACTCTGTGAGTCACAGGGAATCACTCAGAACGAGGGACTGCATCAAAGCACACCAGAACAATCCAGGCTGAGTCCGGGGCCTTCCTGAGAGAGGCTGATAACGGTTGGAGAACAGGGATCTGAGAAAGGGCAGGCGGGGTCTGCTGCTGGGAAGCAAGGAGGCTGGGGGCTGGGTAGTGGGACCCCAGGCTCCCCTTGGCCCCCAGCAGGGGCTCAGGCGGTTCAGCCTGAGGCCACTGGATTCAAGACCTGGGGTGCCTGGGCCTGACCAGAGAGACCGGGCGCCTCCTAAATCTGAGACGGAGCAGGAGTGCTTCCTGGCTGTGGAGGAATGAACAGCAGATGGTGGAAAGGCACCAGTGGAGGGGTGGGCCCGGGGTCCAGGACAGGCTGCCCAGGCTGGGCCCAGAGGAGGGCCAGCGGGTTCCACGGGGACCCTGGACCCATCAGTGACAGGAGTAGAAGTTGGGAGGAGGCCGGCCTCTGAGACGCTGGGCCTGGGGCTGAGTGCCCGGAGCGCTGCCTTCAGGGACTAAAGAAGACCCTGAGACCCAGGGAGACCCGGTGATCCCCCAAATCCTGCAGCCGCAAGGCTCTTGGGAGCATCTCAGGAAGGGGAACATAGATGACTGCTGGGAGGGGGGAGCTTGAGGGAGTGGAATATTCAGCTAAGCAGCCAAACAGAAAAGGAAGTTCCTGGCCCAGCGGCTTCGAGGGTCACCAGAGTCACCTTGGAACTGTGAATTCCTTCAAACCAAGCCCAGCAGAGCCCAGGGAGTGGCGCTAAGGATACTGGGCATCCGGGGACCCCGCTGCAGGGAAGAACATTGAAGACTCTGGAGAAGGAAGCCTGTCTGGGCTGGAGAGGGCAGGGGACCAGTGCGGCTTGGGTGACAGACGTCCTAGGAAATGAGCCGTTTCCACACCAGCAACTCGGCCCTTGGCTAGGGTGGGCTTGGGAAGAGCACTCTACTTAAGAGGGCATGACATAGAACGTGTCGAAGTGGGGTCCCCCCGCAACCTCCCTTCCCAAAATCCTAGACACCCCTCTGCTGTGTGCCCAGGATACAGAGAGGCAGGGCTATGTGGGGGCATTCCTGGACCTCACCCACAGGGGGCTGCCCCACTTACAGCACCCAGACCCCTGTCCCTCCTGAAATATCCAGTTCCTGGGGCCTGGACAGCAGAGGAGGCTTCATTCACCCAACACTGTCCACAAGGTCCAGCCACACTTAGAGCCATTTGTCCAAAACGGAGAAACCATAGCAAGTGGACACGATGACAGGCCACCTTTGTGTCGCGGCTATCTTGTGCCACTTGGTGTGTTTCAGGTAAGTGCTCAGTGTCCTGGAGTACTTGCAAATAAATTGATTATGTGTAAGGAAGACCTTCATTCAGAAGCGGGGTCTTCTTTTCCATAACAGCCCATAGGTTAAGATGAAACTGTGGGCTCACAGCGCTTGCTGGCTCTTCAGATCATTGAGGCGTGCAGAAAGGGAAGCAGACATGCGACACTTACGGATTGGGGGGTACTTAAGGACACGTCCCTGATTGCATTTGTAAACAGGACCAAAATTAGTCCCAAGCCCCCTGAAACAGGAGTGTTTAAACGTGCTCGATTTAGAAACACAACCACTTCTGAGTTGAAATGAGGCGGCCAGGGGGTTCGCCTTTGTAACGTGAGGGAATAACAGTGGCTTTCAAAGCCTGAGTAAGGGTGCTGCCGGATTTCCACGCACCGGAGCGAAGCCACCCTGGAGGACACTTCCACACTCCCAGGAGCCGCAGGGCTCCCCCCGCCCAAGGCCGGGGAAGGCAGCCGAGGGGAGCGGCCTGAACTTGGACTAGCCGGGTTCAGACACCTTTAATCACCTCCTAGTGTCCCGAGGAGCAAAACGAGTCCTTCAACAGAAATGGCACCTGCTGGTGAAGAGGGCATTGGTAGTGCGGCAGGCAGGCGGGGAGCAGGGGCTCCTGGGGCCCAGGGTTGGGTCCAGGGAACACAGGGCAGCCCCAGATGACGGTCCTGAGGGACAGAGCCTGTCAGGGCCTGGGGCCTAGCCCTCTGCGCCTCCCAGTGAAACTTCCCTCACAAAGGAGGCCCGGCCTGCCAGGAAGCAGAGCTAAGGAGGGGCTGTGCTGGCTGTGGCCCCCTTGGGATGGCTGCACCGAGACCTCGTGAGGGCACCTGGAAGGGACAGGCGGCAGAAGGTGAGCAGCCCTAGGCCCTGGGCTATCCCAGAGGGTCCCCAAAGTACAGCCACCCCCAATGGAAGCAGGCAGGGGGCAGAACAGCCCTGTGGGCCACCACAGCCACCTGGACACAGCTCCTGTCCACCTAGGACTGGGCTGAAGGCCACAGTGTGACATCGGGGACTAGCTCAGACCCACGGAGTCCAAAATACCCCGCAGCAATCCAGGCTGAATCCAGGGGCTTTCCGGGAGGAGGGTTTTGTAGCAACTGGGGAACAAGAGTCTGAGAGAAGGGCAGGCGGGCTCTGCCCCTGGGGAGCGAGGAGGCTGCAGCTGGCCGATGGGCTCCAGACTCAGCCGGCGCAGAGGTTGGGCGATTCAGCCTGAGGTCACTGGACCCTGACCTGAGTGCCTCAGCCTGACCAGAGACACGAGGCATCTCCTAAATCTGAGAAGGACTAGAAGGCCAGAAGGGCCAGTGAGGAGGGCTCCCAGCGTGGAAAAAGACATCATACGGGAGGGCACCAGAGGAGGGGTGGGCCGGGGACAGGACAGGCCTGTAGGAGGCCTGGGGGGTCCCACGGAGACCCTGAACCCGCCCTAGACAGGGTGCAGAGGCTGACCTCAGAGACCCTGGGACCCAGGGTCACTGATGGGGGGCTGAGGTCCAGGAATGCCACCACAGGGCCCTGCCTCTCTGTATCCTGGGCGTGAGAGGCAACAGTGGCAGAAAATAGAGAGCACACAACTGAGAGGCGTCTAGGATGTGGGGAAGGGGGTCATCGGGCCACCCATCAGACGGGTGTGGTGTCCAGATGCACAGTGACCCTGGAATTGACTTCCCCGCTGGCCTCCTCTCTGCAGACCCCCTTCTTTTTTCCCTTGACCGCAGGCAGTGACCCCCCACTCGCCCCATCCACTAAGCCTTGGCCCCATGAGGGGGGCTCCCAGTGGGAAGGGAAATGGTGGAACGGACAGCGGGGGTCGTGGCAGCGCGACGTGGGAGGAATACAACAGGACATAGACCGCGGCCCCATAGCTTTAAATAAGAAATTTATTGCAAATATAGAAATTGATTCTCTCCATACAGGAATCTCCGAGTTGAGGAAAACAATTTCGTGCCATTGAGTTTTAAAACAGGAAATTGAGGGGAGGAAGAGGCAGATACAGGGAAGAGAAAATAAAGTTAATCCCCCCCCGAAAAAAAAAAGAGAAGAAAAGGAGAGGGTTCAAGGCCCTCAGAGGAAGGAAAGGTCCGTACACAGCAAGGGTTCACAGGTTCAGAGCCCAGGGCTGGGGCCCAGCTCTGCAGGACCCAAACCAGGTGCCCAACCACAGCCAACTTGGGGGCTGGTGGCTCGGGAGGGCGGGAGGGACAGTGGGAGGGAGGGAGAGATGGTGGGAGGGCTGTGTGGCCGACACTGCAGGAACTCCAATCCCCTGCCGGGCCCTGCGCTGGGTGGAGTGGCAGAGGGGCAGGAGGAAGGAGGCCCAGACCATCCTGCCCACCCTACCGGACCCCTTCCTCTCCTTCCCGCTCTGCAGGACTGCCTGACCTTGAGTGAGGGCTGAGGCTGCCTCCAGAGGCAAGCAGTGTGCACCCTGGTTCTGTCTTAGAGGTGGGAGGACCCAGAGTCAGGGAAGGAGTGTGTCAGGACAGGATCTGAGCCTGAGGGTTAGAGGAGGGCCCCTCTCCTGGAGCTCAGCCACCTCCGGAGCAGCCACCTTGTCAGAGAGGAGAGATGGCAGTAAGGTGGGGCAGCCTTGCCCCAACCTTCACACCGGCTTCCCCGGGCCAAGTTCATGGAGACGAGACCCTGCTGGGCCTGGAATGGGCAGGGGCAGAGTGGTAGGGGATGGAGGTGGTGCTTGGGGACAGGCACCCACTGCAACCCCATTCCCTCCAGGCTCGTCTTCACACCTGCCCACTCATCCTTCTGGCTCCTCTGGTCATTCAGAGCTTGGCCCCCTGTCCCCCCCCATCCCCCAGGGGATGCTCCCTGACCACCTTTGGCCCTCCCCACCCCATCACCCCATTTTAATTCTCTGCAAGGCACCAGTCACCAGGGAGCTTTGTGTCTGTCCCTTCCCTGCACTTAGACCCCTCAGAAGCGGGGACCTGTCACTGCTGTCCCTAATTCCTGATGCCATCCTGGCCTTAGCACTGTCACTGTCAGGTTTCTTGACTCTAAGTTTCCTTCCCTCTCCTTTTCTTCTCTGCACTTCTGTCTCCCCCTCTGTTAAAGTTCCAGGGGGTGGGTGGGGAAGGCAACCAACTTCCAGTTGAGAACATGGTGACTTTCGGCCAGCCCGACACTCCACGCTGCAGCCTCTCAGGGGCGATCCAGGTCCTGCCTTCCCAAGTGAGTCTTTTTATTCCCACCCTCCCCGCTGCCCTGACCTGCCCCACGGGCCTCCCACACTGCCCAGGAGGGGAGCGCAAGGGAGGGATCATTGGTAGGCAGAGAGAGACGACTCCTGCTGCAGGGAGAAGCGAGGCTGAAAGGCCGGGGCCCATGAAGAGGTGTCCCCACCACCTAGGCTTTCTTGTCTTCCTGACAGTCTCCATAATTTGCTTCTAGAAGGCCATGAGCTCCAACAGAGGGCTAGCCACATCAGCTGTGCCCTTCAGGAGGGAGCAGGCCCATCCCTACTTCCCAGAAACAGCTTCAGAGGTAAGTCTCCAACAGGTACCAGGAACGGGCAAGCCCAGGTGTGACCTCGTTCAGGCCCAAGGCAGGAGACCTCCCCGCAGAGGTCCAGGGCACTGCACCCACATTCCTCCAGCCAGCTTAGCTCAACCCCTCACTCCGCCGGGCCCCCCTGCCCTCCTCTCCTGGGTGTCTGCCCCCACTGCCTGCCCCAGCTCCACCGTGCTGCTCATCACCATCACAAACCCAAACCTTAACCAGACTCCTAGATGGCAACGTTCAGGCGTGTTTAGTGAATCCTTCCCTCCTGCCTGGGAAAAACTCTTCCTGAGTGGGAGGCGGGACACAGATGCAGGCCAGCCTCCAGGTGGGTGGGCCCTCCTCCAGCTGAAAAGCTGGGGTCTGGCCTGGCCGGGGAGGCCAGAGACCTGAGTCTTAAGACTCTGCCCTGCCTCACAAAGAACCACATGAACTGAGTCTTCAAGGCTAGTCCCCTCCCGGAGTATGAGGGTCCTGCTCTCCAGACAGGGCCCTGTCCCTGCAGTCGGAGCATCTGAGGTTTTGATAGGGATCTTCAGGCAGGAAGGATGGGGAAACGGCAAGGACAGGCACCCGATCCTACTGCCGGGAACCCTCCCTGCAGCCCACCCAGGCGGGCTCCTTCTTCCCACAGTTCCTTTCTCAAAGCCCCCAGCCTCTCCATGAAGCCCCCCACAAAGCCCCAAGCTTCTCATCTCCTATACTTAGCAGTGTAACTGACCCTCCACCGCAGCTGGCCGGCCAAGTCACCAGGCCCCTGTCTGAGAGCCCTGACTTCCTCATCTGCAAAATGGGAACAAGCAGGATGGACGGACAGTCCTTTCCACCCAGACATGGACCCTCAAGGAGGCTTCCCTGGGGCTGCCCTCCCTGGGACGGAGGAGGGGAAGGAACTAGGGAAAAGGGAGGTGGCAGTGGGAAGATGGAGGAGGGAGGGAGGTGGCACTTATGGGCCCAATGCCCAGAGAGGCAGGAGGTGGGGCAGGGCTGTCTCGGTGGCACCTGTTTTGGGTCTGTGTTTGCAGAGCTGACCCCTCCCTGGGTTTCAAGAGCTGCTCGTCAGATCATAACAGACGCAATGTGGGAAAGGAGGGCGTCGGGGAGGGGGCGGGGGAGTCTGGACAAACTGGCACATACACGACAGATGTTTGCTCAGAAAAATACAGTAAAATCGTCATGCAAATAGAATGGGGGGTCTGCTTGCTCACACCCCTGGCTTCTCCGCCTGTTTGCTGTTGTCAGTTGTGCCAACTGGGTGTGAGGAGGGGTTGGGGCAGGTTTGGGGGACCGGGGGAGGGAGGTCTACTCCAAGCGTCCATGCCGCACCCCCCTCCTCGCCCCAGGGAGAACAGTCTTTTCTTTGCAAATGTCACCCCCAAAGTGAGCCCTGGGCTTTGTTCACCCCACAGTCGGGATGAGAGAGGTGCTGAGCTGACCCTGAGCCTCCCAGCCCTCCGCTGTCCCCCTGGACCCCTTGCCCCCAGCAGGAAGATGGTTGGGGCCCCCCCAAGGATGGCACTCACTTTCCCAGTCAGTCCCTCCCCACCAACACTGCCCGTCTTGTCCCACCCCAGCCCCTACCCTCACCCCTCAATCATACTCTCCGAATCTCAGGAAACCCATGTGGGCCACAGCCCCAAGGTTAGGGATCTCTGGCAGGGGCGTGGGGAGAGCCGAGTCCCCCCTCCCATGCTGAGGTGGGTGGGAGCCGAGGGGCACGTCATCAGGCGGGCAAAGTTGCTAGTACAGGCTTCCCCACGCCCCACCGGCCCAGCTCCCACCCAGAGGTGAAGGATGATGGACTCCCGCCCCTCAGCATCCCGACTGGTTAAGATCCCAATCTCAGGACCCCAGATTTGCCTCCCAAAAGAGCTGGCCCCAGGAGCTCCTGCCAGGCTGGTCCTCCCCCACCACCAACTGCCACCACCCACATGGACAGAGAGCCCCAGAGCCCAACGGTCACTCTGGGCACCAACTGCCAGGCACAGGGTTACCATGGCGACAGAGGATGGCTGGGAGGGGGCGGGGCGCCACGAACCCAGCCTGCTCCCTACCCCTCCCAGACCAGCAGGGTGCCTCACTGTTTGTGCTTTGTTTGATGTTGGCTGGGGGTCAGAAAGAGGGGAGTGGCCGTTGCCATGGAAACTTGGGAGCCCCTCTGGCCAGGGGGACAGGCTGCGAAGAGCAGCCGAGAGGGGGTGAGTGAGAAAGCCCTCCTTCCCTGGTCGGCTGAGACAGGAGCCGAGATCCCACGATGGGGTCAGGCAGGTGGGGATGCAGGCCACGGGGACGGGCAGGATGTCCCCACGACACCTCCTCCCTGCAGCCCCCCAGGCATCACAGTGCACCGCTGTACTTCTGCGGTGGGCGGGGGTCTCGGAGGATCAGAGAAGCTGGGCGGGGGCTGCACCTGAGATGTCCTGGGAGCCGGCCTGCCGCCACACGCCCCACTCTTCCCAGGCCACATGGAAGACACTTGAAGTGGGCTGGTGGAATGTCGCCCTGCCTCGGCTCCTTCCCCATCAACAGGACCCTCTCCCTTCTCCCGGGTGCTAGCGTAGGGGACAAGAGCCCCCCAGGATTCTGAATCACAGCTGCACGCTCTGGGGGCACTGCCATGTGGCTTTCTAGGAAGAAAAAGCACCTGCCTGACTCGCAAGTCCCTCAGCCCCAAGGGACCACAGGTTGGAAGGGGGTGTCGGGGGTTGGGCATGGGGCAGGTGGGTTCCCACAAGGCAGCTGTGGGGTGGGGGGGTTGGGGACAGAACTGGGCTGGGAAGTTGAGGGACTTGAGGCTAAGCTGCTATGTGACCCTGGGATTGTCAACTCCCCTCTCCGGGCCTCAGTTTCCCCCTCTCTCTAAAGTGGAGGGAGACAATGCCCAATGCCTGTCTAATGCTAAATCTTCAAGAGACCTGACCCCCAGCTTGGGAGGAGAGCCTCCCTCTGCCCCAGAGGGGCTTCAGTCTCTCTCTACCCTGGCCTTCTTGGTCCACACACCTGTTTCTAGCCCCAGACCCCCAGACCCCACACCCTCTCTTGGCTTCCTTCCTCCCCCTGCCGGTCCCCGGCCCCCGGCCCTGCAACCCCCAGCAGAGTCCCTGGGCAGCACAGTAAAGACGACTGGTTTCGGTATCAGTTTGTAAACTTTAAGGAAGATGTGTCTTTGTTTTCCTGTCCGTTATTGTCATATGTTGTTTTGTTCACAGTCGGGTGGTGGTCAGGTGTGTGTGTGCGTGCGTGCGTGCGGGTCTGCGTGTGCGTCCTCTCCTGCGCCTCAGCCACCGAGTCAGCTTCCCCGCCCTGGCCGCCCGGACCCTTCCCCCAGAGGGCCCCCAGCGCTCTGGCTCCGACCTCACCAGGGAGCAGGGGCTCACAGCTTCTGCTGGGCTGAGACCCCCTTCCAGTAATCGAGGATGTCGTGCAGATCCTCATCCTTGGCGAACTGGACCTTCTTGCGCAGGGCGTGGCCAGCGGCCATGTACACCTCCTCCCGGTGGTGCTTCTTGTAGGGCCGGAAGCGCTCCCAGATCTTGTGCGTGCTCTCGGATGAGTACTCGGGGCTGGAGGAATACCCTGAGTAGTAGTGTCTGGGGGAGAGCTGTGAGTAGGTGGAGTCACGCTTGGAGCGGGTCAGCGGCTTGAGGAAGGACACGCGCTGGCTCAGGCTGTCGGCGCCCTCCTCGTAGTAGAGGGCGGGGAAGCTGTGCCGGTGCTCGCTGCAGTGGTAGGCTGGCTTTACCTCCAGGTGGTGGATGCCCCCGCCCCCGCCGCTGCCCCCACCACTGCCCGCTGGCACCAGTGGGAGCCGGTCCAACGGGCTGTTGAGAGGGCTGCCTTTCTCGATGTACTTGGAGTCGCCCTTGGCCAGCCCCGTGGCGGCCGGGTGGTCAGGCACGTCCAGGCTAAAGACCTTGGCGCTCTTGATGGAACCGCTGGAAGACACGCTGCAGGTCTTGCGGGTCACGGCCGCGTCGGCGCTCAGCTGGCGCTGTAGCGGGTGGTGGGAGCTCTCCTTGTAGGGAGGTGAAAGGAAGCTGGGCCGCTCCAGCGGCCCGGGGGCAGTGGCTGAGGAGGCGGCAGCAGCTGCAGGGAGGGACTGGCACTCGAAGGCCAGCTCGGGATCCCCACTGCCACTGCCGCCTCCCAGGAAAGAGGCCGAGTCCAGCTTGAGGGCGTCGATGCAGTTGTTGATGATCTGGTTGACCTTGTCCACCTCCTTGGCAATGGTGGAGATCTCCGCAGCGGAGCCCTGGCCGTTCTCGAGGTCCGGGAGGTCATCCTCCGGCCGAGCCAGGCCGTCCCCGCCGGCCCCTGTGCGCACCTCAATATAGTTGCCCTTGGTAGCCACCTTGGGCGTGTCCAGCCCAGCCTCCAAGCCCTTGGCGGTGGGCAGCTTCTCCCCAATCATGGAGGGGATGGAGGCCATGCGAGACACAGGCAGCACGGGGGGCTCACCCAGCTTCTGGGCAGCGTGCACGATGGAGCCGGCATCCACATCGGCCCCGTACCGCATTTCCAGGATGGTTTTCTTGACGTTGACGGACTTCTGCTTCTCCTCCTGCATGCGTCGCTTGCGCAGGCAGTAGTACACAGCCCCCAGCACGATGACCATGCCGAAGAGGCAGCCCAGGATGGTCATGATGTAGTGGGTGGTGGTGGAGGTTTTGGGTGCCAAGTCGCCGGGGACGGGGTCCCGCGTGGTGAAGGTCAGGCAGGTGTGGTTGAAGCGGCGGCTGTTGCGCAGCGAGGTCACGCAGAAGGTGTACTCGGTGTGTGCCCGCAGCTTGTCCAGCGTCACGATCTCCTTCTTGTTCTTAAGGGTCATGACGTCGGAGAAGTAGCTGTTGTTGTACTGCACCAGGACGTACATCTTGCTGTAGGGGTGTGGGATGATGACCACCAGGGTGGCCGAGGTGAAGGTGACGTGGTGCAGCTTGATGGCGGGCCCCGCGGACGCATCCGTGGTGGACGAGGCCGGCGGCTCCACCGAGAGGATCTCGTCGGGGTTGAAGCCCGAGTTCTCGTCCGGCTCCCTCTGGGCGTCGGTGGAGTAGGGCGTGGGGTGGCTCACGGGCCGGGCAGGCAGTGAGCCGTTCCGGCACTTGGCCTGGAGCACGGTGATGGCGTTGAGGCTGTGGTAGGGCCGGGGCACCAGCAGCGGGTAGCCGGCAAATTCCCGTGGCGACTCGCACTGCAGGCGGTCGTAGTTCTTGGTGACGTTGTTGAAGACGACCAGCCAGGCCAGGAAGCCGAAAAGGTCGCACTCACAGTTGAAGGGGTTGCCGGCCAGCTCACACACCATCAGGTTGGCGAGGCTGGCAAAGGTGGCGCCGTCCAGGCGGCTAAGGCGGTTGGAGGACAGGTCGATGCTGATGAGGCTGGGGCACTCGGAGAAGGCGGTGGGCGTCACCACCTCGATGAGGTTGTGCTGGACGAAGAGGAACTGCAGGCGGCTCATGCCCCGCAGCATGCCCTCCGTCAGGTTGCTGAGCTTGTTGTAGCCCAGCTGCAGGACCTGTAGGCTCGACTGGCCCAGGAAGGCCCCGTCCTCGATGTAGGAGATCTCGTTCTTGGTGAGGTTGAGGTCGGTGAGGTTCCCGAAGCGGTTGAGGGAGGAGTAGAGCACGGCTTTGAGCTTGTTCTCGTTGAGCCGCAGGTCGTGCACGGTGCTGTTGATGTGCTGTGGGATGGTCTCGTAGGGCGGCTGGTTCTGGCTGCAGATGGCCAGCCACACGTAGCCCTTGTCGCCCTCGATGAGCCAGCAGTCGGCGCGCACGGCGCTGGGCCGGCACACGCACAGCAGCGCCGCTGCACACAGCCCCAGGCGCAGCATGGCGCGGGCCTCGGAGTGAGGGGCAGGGCGAGGCATGGGGGGGTGGTGCCTAGTGGCCACAGCCCGGGGCTGGCAGTACAGTCCTCCCCGGGGCCGTCACCATCTTGGGGGCGACCCCCAGCACGGGGGCCCCAGGCAAGGTGGGTACAGCTAGTGCCAACTCCTGGGGGCCTTCTGGGGTGCTGCGGCAGGCACTAGGCCTGCTAAGGGTGGGGGCCCCACAGCCTGCTCCCCTCACAGTGTGGCTCCTTGTCTCCTGCTGAGAAGGTGCACAGGTTCTCAGGGATTGACCTCCTCTCACTCCTCCTCCTCCTCCTCTTCCTCCTTGGCTTCTGGGCTCAGAACTTCAGACGATTCCCATAGGCGGCTGGAGAGCGCGCACTGAGCAGGGAGTGAGAGAGACGGGGGCAGGAAGGAAGAGACCCATCTGCACCTGGTTCCTGAAAGGCAGCATGGAAAGCGGTGACAGATCAGTGTGAGGGCTCGGAGCAGCCCCGTCAAGCTCCAGCACAGGCTCCCCCCGCCCCCCGTCCCTTCTCCACACCCCATCCCAGGGCCTCTGTGCCAGCAAGCACTCGAGTCCCTGTTACATCCAAGAATTGGTGGGTGGCAAGAGGCAGGAGGGAGCCCAGGGGCTGGGATGGAGAGAGACAGAAGAATGAGGGGGGGTAGAGGCAGAGTCTGAGGACTGTGGACACAGAAGGGACACTGGAGAGCAACAGTTGGGCACAGGTGCGGGCACACCCCTCCTCAGCACACCGGAGGCCACACTTATCCCCCCACCTGCACAGAGACCCACATGCCCCCACCTGAGCCGGACCTCCACAGCATGCACACGTACACAGCTACACACACACACAAGCACACCTACGATCTGCACACGACAAGCAGGCCCCTACGCACATGTGTCCACCGACCCAAGCAGGCACCCCTGGACCCAGATAAAGAATTAAGAAGCTCAGCAACATGCCTTCTTTCCTCCATGCCCAAAAGATAAATAATTCATTTGTTGTGTAACTGCTCTTGTTCCAAAAATAATTCCCTTGTCTCAGCTTCCATGGGGGAGGGGGAGCAGAACGTCGCAGCTGTGAGGCCCCCCAAGCAGGGTATGCAGAAGCCGGGGTCTCCCGCTGTGGGAGAATGTGGGGACAGCTCATCCCACAGGCAGAGCAGTGCCAAAGGAAAGAAAGGCAAGCCTCGGGGAGGCCAGAGATACCCCCGACCATCTCCCCAGAGTGCCTCCCCTGAGGCACCTTGATCCTTGGGAGAGGGCCAGCCCTCTGGAATAGCATGACTGAGGCCCGGCTCCCCTTCCATGGCTGGAGAGTCAGAGGCCCAGAGAGGGACAGGGAGTTGCCCCAAGTAACACAGCACAGCCTGGACCAGGATCAAGGCTCCCAAGGTGCTGAGCCCAAGCCAGGAGTCTGGAGGCCTGGCACCCCATCTATCTACCCAGCCCAATTAGCTAGGCAAACCACAACATCTGAGTCTATTTCCACATCTAACAAAGTGGGTCCCTTTCCGGCCCATCTGATGGGAGAGAAGAAGCTGAGGATTCATGCTGCCCGTTTCCAAGATGCAGAAGGGCAGGGACGGCGGCCCAGAGGTCACAGCAGTAGGACATCAGGATCAACCCTCACTTTCCAAGTGGGGAAACTGAGTCCCAGACCCAGGAAAGACTTGGCCAGGTTGCCCAGCATGCTGGACACAGCTCTTTAGACAGACCCCCACACCAGCTCCCACCCTGTCCTCTCAACTATGGAAACAGCCCAGTTCTCCCTCCCTCTGCCCTGGGCAGGGGCCAGGGACGTGAAGATTAGGTCTCAGAAATCCAGAAATTTGGACACAAAAAGCCGGGGACTGTTCACAGGAGCCACCTCTGCCTCCCTCTCCTCCTCCTCCTGGGAAAGTCTAGGAAAGGGTGCTTTAAAACAATGTCTAAGTCTTTGCCATTAAAGCAAAAGCAATTTACAGCACTGAGCCCCAGAGGGCAGGAACAGAGAAAAGGGGAATGGGCGTGGGGTGGGGGTTAATCCCACAAGAAGTCCCAGACAGGCCATTTTTGGTTGGGATGGTGAAAGGTGAACAGGGAGTCCACAGGGCCTGCTAGACTAAAGGCTGATGCTACATCAGGGGCTGTGATGATCGGGACCTCTGAGGCCAGGCTCACACCTCCCCAGTTGCTGCAGGACCAGGCTGGGGGTGCCACAAGGTAGCCAGGCAGGAAGGGGTGCCCAGGCAGCAGACAGCAGCTCTGTCCTTGGCTGTACTATGCAAAGGTCTCAGGGCTGGAGAGCCCTTGGCTCCCATCCAGCATGGCCACTGGCTCCTGGGGGACCCCAGGCCAGTTCTGCCCCTCTCTAAGCCTCAGTTTCCCCTCCCACAGGTAGCAAGGTTGTACTGGAGGAGGCTGAGTCTCCACGCTTCCCACTTCAGAGATCCTTGAGCCAGCCTGTCAGAGAACCCTCGTCTGCTCCAATGTAGTCCCTCCTCCTCATCGGGGAATGTCTAGGGACCGCATTTGTATGCAGGTGCACATGCAGGTGGCTCAGAGTGCCGACGCAGGGGTGTGCTGACGTGTACAAGCCGACGACGTGCAGGCAGCCGCATGTGCACACATTATTCGTGCATGTGCATCAGCTTTGGCGCATGTGCTTGTGTGGGGGGGGGTGGGAAGGCATATGTGTCAGGCGCATCTCAGGGAGGGCAGGCATCCATCTGTGTTACAGTTGGCATGTTTAAGTACATGCGTGTTCTGTGTGTTCCACATGTGTATGTGTGTGCATCTGAGTTCCTCAAACCAGCAACCTCACAGCTAGGCCCAGGGTACTGGGCAAAGCCAGGCTGGCTGGAGCCTCGGGAAAGCCAGGCCCTACCAAAGGCTGTGAAGAGGCTGAGCGTGGAGGGGCATGGGAGAAGAGGCCCACGCGGGAGGGGAGCCAGTCCTGCCCGAGCTCTTCCCAAACAGTCCAGGATGAGCAGAGGCCCTCGGTGCCCCAACCCCAGGCACTCCAAGCTCTGCCCACCTAAGCCTCAAGGTGACCTGCCCATGGTCTCTCCTCTTCCTCCTGCTCTCCAGGATGACTTGGGCTGGGCCCAGCTCCCACCTGCCTCCGTGACTCAGACGGAGTTGGGAGTAGGCTTCCATCACCCTGTCCCAGGTGCGTCAGCTGCCCGGTCCCCATCCCGGGCTGCCTGCCTGCCACCCATGGAGACCTGACGCAGCCAGGGAGGGAACAGAGAAGCTGAGGCCAAGAAGCCGCTGACAGCAGCACTTGGCCCCTGGCCCAGCTGCTTACACACTCAAGGTGTGGGCGTCAGGGGCACTAGCCTCTCCTCTCAGGTCCAAGGCTGAGAGTCCAGTGGTCAAATGGGCAAGGTCGTGCCCTTCCCCTCCTCCCATGAGGGTGATCCTCCCACACACAGTGCAGGGGGACAGGACAGCTCCCCACATACCCAGGTGGCGAGAGATGGGAAGAAGGGGGGCTGCAGGGAGGAGGCGAGGACGGAGAATAGTGGCAAAGCAAAAATATCCAGGCAGCCAGGCAGAGGCAGACAGGGAGAGAGAAAAGGAGGAAGTGCATCTGAGACAGAGGCACCGACGGCAGTGAGCTATCTCGATGATAGATGGAGGTGGCTCAGAGGACAGGGCACCTGCTCCCCCCCAGCCCAGAGGCCAGGGAGACAGATGACACCTGGTCTGGCTGAACCACCAAAATGCATCCTGTGACCAGCCAGAGGGAGCAGGGAGCAGATGTGGGAAGCAGAGACCTTTTCTGCCCAGGGCCTTGGTGGCACAGCCCAGGAGGGGTATGGCCATGCAGGCAAGCAGGTATAGGGGTGGCATGTTCTAGCAAAGAGCAGTGCTCCCATGCCCTGGCCTGACTGGACCCCTCCCCTAGAGCATCTTCCCCTTCAGGCTCCAAGTGCCCCAGTGGTGCAATCTTGGCTCACTGAAACCTCTGCCTCCCGGTTTCAAGTGATTCTCCTGCCTCAGCCTCCGGAGTAGCTGGAATTACAGATGCCTGCCACCACACCTGGCTAATTTTTGTCTTTTTAGTAGAGACAGGATTTCACCATGTTGGCCAGGCTGGTCTTGAGCTCCTGACCTCATGATCCGCCCACCTCGGTCTCCCAAAGTGTTGGGATTACAGGCGTGAGCCACTGTGCCCAGCCAAGCAGCTCTCTTTAAGGGGTGCTCTGTCCTTCCACCAAGAACAAACGGCTGCACAGCCAGGGTGCATGAGGTTATTGGGGGCTCTGGGTCTGCAGATGCATGCTGTATGATGACCCCTCTCATGGGGACATTCGTGGGCAGAGAGGAGAGTCAGTGAGACCCCGCAGCACTCGCTGCTCGTGGGGCAGAGCTGGTGGTGCGGGGGTCTCAGTTCAGAACTAGGCAGGACCGCAGACCCCAGAGTCATTCAAAGCAAATGCCTCCCCTTTCTGGGCCTCAGGCGTCATCAGCTACCCAGCGATCCCGCTGGTGTGTGCCCTTCCCGCCCAGGTACCCCAAGATCCTGGGCCCTTCTGGGAGACAAGTCAGAACTGGGAAGACAAGGAGTCCTGGCTCAGCCCCACCCCTGCCCCTCTTGGAGGGCAAGCCGAGCACAGTGCCTGACCTCTGTGAACAGCAGCTGCTGTTAATGTGGGTTCCCTCATCACCCAAGATCAGGGTTCCTCTGGACTCAGGCTCACTGAAGCTCGGGGTTACATCCTCTCGGCCCCCCACTGCAGGCTGACTCCCAAGCCTCCCTGTCAGAGGACAGTCTGGACCCCCGCCCCGGGGAGAGCCCCCCCGCACTGTGGTGTGTGGGAGGGGCTGAGGGGGTCAGGCCACCTCCCCAGGGTGGGTGAGAGGGTGGACGGAGTGAGGCCAGCCAGGGATGCAGGCAGCGGAGGTCAGCGGGGAAGATGCAGACCTGACCGGCTCTGAGACCCTGGGTGAGTCGCAGGCCCTCTCCGAGCCTCAGTTTCCCCCTGCGTGGCAAGGTTAGTACCATCCAGCTCCCAGGGCTCCCCCGAAACCCCAGGACATGACAGAGACACACACGCTCAGTCCAGGGGAGGAGGCCTCGCAAACACACCATGCCGGGTTCCCACTCATGTGGCCACACTCTTCTTCCAGGGACACCCATCAGCTCCAGGAGCAGACAGGGGAAGCGTGGTCTGTGTCCTGGCCTCCCAGGAGAGGGACGTGAGGCTCGGCCGGGGAAATCTCATTTACAGCAGCTCATAAGCCCTGGCACAGGCTCTTCCCTGGGCCAGGCTGGCCAAGGCTCCCCGAGGTGTCATTGTCACCGTCCGTGTCAATGCCATTACCCAGGATTAGGAGGACCGAGGACTCCTGGCAGATCTCTCAGGCAGGCAGCCACCTCGCCCCTCGCTGCTGGAAGCCCAGCACCAGGCCGGGAACTCTGCCCTCAGGGACAAAGCCTGCCACCCCCTGGGGAACAGACTCAAGCCGGGGGTCTGAACACGTGTTGTCACTGCCTCCACCTCATGGAGCTCCCTGGGCCTCAGTTCCTCGTCTGTAAAATGGGATGATTACATCCTCGACAAGGCACACCGTTTGGTAAGTTAACTGCATTTCCAGTGCAATGAATGAACCCGTGCTGCAGGCTGTGGACAGTGTGGGGAAGGGACCTGGGATTGAATGCTGAGCTGTGTGACATCAGGCACATTACCTAACTCCTCTGGGCTTCGGTCTCCTGGCCTCTAAGAGAGTCATATACCCCTTATCCAATGGTTCCTTTGTATCTGACATTTGATGTTCCTGGAATCTTACATCAACCCCACATGGCTGGCGCCGTTAGACCACACAGCCAAGACCCCAGGCCAGCCTGATCTGCTGGAACCGGCAGACTTTCCAAGATTCCTCCCTGGAAGGCAATGTCCCGTCACCTGCAGACCTCCAGTGACAGGGCTCTCAGCGCCCACCTGAAGCTACTGATTCTCTTCTTTCTTTTTTCTTTCTCTTTTTTTTTTTTTTTTTTTTTTTTTTTTTTT